ACAGGATGTGTGTCACATTAAGGGAGGCTTTCCCTGCTCTACCCCTGCCCCACATCTCAGGACAGAGTCCAAAATCCCCAGCAAGGCTGTATCATGGGCCTTTTGCCCAGCTCTCGGACCTGCCCATTTTTATCTCTTGCCATTTACTCTCTCACTCAGGTTTCTATTTTATTGAGCTTCTTGTAGTTCCTCTAACATACCGTGGTTTTTCTCACCCCTACACCGTTCTCTATGCCTCCCACCCACCAGCTCCAGCTGCAGCAGTTGCCCTGTGTTTCCCATAAGTAGTACGTTTTCACGCTGTGGTCTCATTGCATGTGTACATCCTTGTAGCCTCCACTGGACTGTAAGCTCTAGAAAGGTACTCATCTTCCTCCTTGTTCCCTGATGAACTCTCAGGTTTGTTGAATTACATGCATGAAGATGAGACACAGCATCTCAGAAAAGTCAACTCACTGGAAATCATGCAATACTATCTGGAAGAGGATTGAACTCAGGTCAGTGTCATTCCAAAGCCCGAGATTTAACCTGCCATTAGCATGCCAGGAGACTAATGGGTGCCAATCCACCTATCTGGTTTCCTTAAGTAGGAAATGAGAGTATGGGTCTATATAGTGGTGTGGGGTAGGGAAAAGAAGACTGTATAACACAAAGGAATCTAGAATAAAGTCCTAACTCCGTGCTATGTGTGTGACATGGGCAAGTCATTCAACTTTTCCAGGCCTCAGTTTCTACAATGATAATATTAGAAAGTTATTCTGGATGGCTGCTGAATTCTCTGGTTAACTCTGAAATGTGCTTGACCCTTGAACAACACTTTCTTGAGCTGTGTGGGTCCACTTATACACAGATTTTTAAAAAAGAGTACAGTACTATAAATGTATTTTCTCAACATTTTTTCCTCCAGCTTACTTTGTTGTAAGAATGTAATATGTAATACATATAAAATTTAAAATGTGTTAATTGGATATGTTATTGGTAAGATTTTTGGTCAACAGTAGGCTATTAGTAGTTAAGTTTTGGGGGAGTCAAAGTTGTACACAGATTTTCAACTGTGTGGGGCTCAGTGCCCCTAACCCCTGAATTGTTCAAGGGTCAATTGTATTATTATGTAAGGAACTTCAAAGCTGCAACCTTTTCCATCTTTTTAAAAAATGTTTACTTATTTATTTTGAGAGAGAGAGAGAGAGAGAGAGTGCAAGTGCACATGTGTGTAAGCAGGGGAGGGGTAGAGAGAGAGAGGGAGAAAGAACCCCAAGCAGGCACTGCACCGTCAGTGTGGAGTCTGACGTGGGCTCAGTCTCCTGAACCGTGAGATCATGACCTGAGCCAAGATCAAGAGTTGGACGCTTAACCAACCGAGCCACCCAAGCACGCCCCCACTCTTCCATCTTATAACATCAATGCTCTCTTTATCACCAACCTTGCTACGTTCTTACCACCTTATCAATTCTCATCACATTGCAATTTCTCTCTGCTCCTATCTAGCTGCTGAAATTGTTCTAAATTAATTGAAGACCTCTTAGTGGCTATTTCCTAAATCCTCTCTTTATTTCTCTTTTTACTGATCTCTCTGAAGTATTTGGAAGCCTCACTTCTCTGGTCTCTGCTAAACATCTTTCTCTTAGTTTGAAACCAAAGTTTTTGACTGTTTCTTATTTTCTCCTGTATCCAATGCCACTTTCTTATTCCATGTCCTTCCCATCTTCCAATGCTGTAATCATACTTTAATTTGTCTCAGAGTCTAACCATCTTCCATTTTGTCTGCCATCAAACTGGCAGAGCTATTTTCTCCAAGTACAAAACTATCAGCTCATTCCCCAATTATGACACTTGATGGCTCCCACTGTCCATGGGATTAGCCAATATATAAATACCTATTGCACACATCTTCCATTCATCCTCTGGAACCCTGCGTTGACACTATGATTTAAGTATAACTTCAGAGCCCTTCTTATCACAGATTTCCAGACAGCTACTACCAATCAAGAGATGTGAACATAAGATAGAACCTATTCATTTATAACATGGCTCTAACCTGCTTTCCAGACTCACTTCCTATTCATATTACTTTCTTTCCCATCCACACTCCATAGAACTTCCCTACTATGCCATGCTGTTTCAGGCCACTTTAACCTTGTATGTCCTAATTCTTTTATAGAAGAAAACAATTTTTCTATTGGATGGAGTCAATATTTACTAATCTTTCTAGAGTCAGTCCAAATATCACTTCCTTTTGAAGACCCTTCCTGACCGGCAAGCTAGAAAAGCTTCCTCCTCTATTTACATTATGTTGCAACGATCTATTTCCATACGTGTTGATCGCCTTCTAACTAGAATTCGACTTCCTCCAGACTGGGGCCATTTCTTAGTCATCTTTGTATCTTCCCTAGAACTTACGACAGTAGCCGGAACGCAGTAGATGCCAAATGAGCGTCTGTTGAAAGACCAAAGAGATGACAAAACGAATGACATGCCTCTAACTGTACATAAGGGTAGGTTTGCAACTCATGGTTCCTGCTAATAGACACTCTCCTCTTAGACTCGCCTGGTTCCAGGCATATCAGGAAAGTTGAGAATTTCACAGATAAAGGACAATAATAACAATAACAATGATGATGATACCAGGTAGTGTTATCGAGCACTTATTGTGTGCCAAGACAAAAACTGCTTGTTTTAACACTTAAAGAACAGGGAGCAGAACAATCTTTAGATACAATGAAAGAGAAGAGCAGAATAAAGGTAATTCTGGTATAAAGAGTCATACTTTAGGGGCGCCTGGGTGGCGCAGTCGGTTAAGCGTCTGACTTCGGCCAGGTCACGATCTCGCGGTCCGGGAGTTCGAGCCCCGCGTCGGGCTCTGGGCTGATGGCTCAGAGCCTGGAGCCTGTTTCCGATTCTGTGTCTCCCTCTCTCTCTGCCCCTCCCCCGTTCATGCTCTGTCTCTCTCTGTCCCAAAAATAAATAAACGTTGAAAAAAAAAAAAAGAGTCATACTTTGATCTATTATCCAAAAATATGGCAAGTGACTGAAACTCCACTGAAGACAGAGCTTCAGATCATTTATTAATACAATGGGGTCAGAGCCAAAGGAAAGACTATCACCTATACATATCTCTGGGTTGGGGAGTAAATAATATTTTTTCATATTATTCTACACTGGCTACAGTTAACATTACCCTAAGAAATTTATTTACCGGTCAAATCTCAATGGTGAAAATTGGCTTAGGATAGAGTCTCTTTGTATTCCAAAGAATAACCATAAGATCTGGGAAAAAAAATAAGCGTGTGGGGACGACAATTTGGAAAGTTAGTGCTGATTGTTGTATGCTCCTTTTTAGAGGCTTACAATGCATATTAGCATATTGGGGATATGAAGACTGCAGTAAGAAAACTTCCTCAGTGTGGCTTAACCCAGAATTCTTCATACGCATTTGGCCAGTGAACTTTTTTTTAATAGAATGCCTCGCGTTTATTTCCATGGAATTAGTACAGGGGAATATTGGCTTTGGAGGTGCCTAGAAACAGGCCCTCTGTGCTGGGATTCTAGCAGTGGACGCATGCAAAGGGGATTGCTATGAAGACCAGTTTGATTTAGGGAAAGTGAGATTGGCTTTGGTCTGGGCCAGAGGAGGCTCATGAGTGGTATTATCATTTACATGATAAAAATTCAGCCGTATATGAAAGTTAGAAGAAAAGGCCAACTCTTAATCAGTTGTTTGAATTAACAGTTTAGTTATCAGGGCTGTCTCCCACAGTCATAGGAATTTATATTTTCATTTTATCCCAAAGAAAAACTTGACCATCTTTCTTTAATACTATCAACCTGGAAGCTTGACAGTAAGGATTAAAAATTGCTCCTTCCTTCCCACTTGGTTATTGGAAAGGCTCTGAAAGGTAATCAGTCTTGTGAAGCTACACTTTACAGTCTGCATAAAAATGCCATGATTTCCCTTCCTCTCCCCAACCTAATTGAAAGTGCATAATATCACCCAGCTGGGGAAATGTAAACGGTAAACAGATGCAATATATCATGCTATCACACAAAAGCTGGTTACTAATAGGGACTGGGTGGTTGTCAGGACCAAAAGAAATCTGGAAAACAAGTCTTTTTTTCATCTAGAATGAGAGTTCTTTGTGTCCGCCACCCTTCCCCCTCACCTCCTCCCTCCAGAATTCAAGCTACAGCCCCATTAAACCAAGGTCAGTCAACTCGTTCCTTGCGCGTGTAATTCCAGGGGTCACCTAACAATGTATATTGACTAAAACTCTCTTATATCAGCGTTTCAAGAGATGAGACATTTTATTTTTGGCAGGAGGTGGGCTTGAAATCATCTTCTTTCCTACCTACTTCAATTGTACTGACAGATGGTCTTATTATCTCTTTCCTTAGCTGCTAAGCCTAAAGATCCTTGGCCTTGTCACCTCTTATCTTTCTCTACTTCATCAAACTCCTATTGCTAAGATTATCTCCTTTTCTACCTCTGATCACCCATGAAAATCTATACAGGATCACATTTTCCTTGAGTGTAAAATCCCAACCTTACTTTTCAAGGTCCTCTGCACCTGTGCAGCTGTCTGTAATTCTAGCTCCATTATACCTACACAGAAGTCACCATTCTCTTCTCTGACTCCTCACCTCCCAGGGTCAGGCCATCTTCCTGAATAAGTCTTTCACAGTAGAACTTTTAGGAGACAGGTAAATGTCCCTCCAAGTTTTCATCATTAGTCCTCTGTCACAATATTCATTCAAAAACTGCTCTCTGTTGCACCATGAACTCAATGACTGCTATCCATTCATGCCGCCTTATAACTGGCTATTTGGTTTTATTTTTGATGGCTGATACCTTATGGGCAGGTCAAAGCATAGCTCTTATCAAGAGTCCTATGCCATTTCAGTTTTAATAGATTAAAAGACATATTTTTATCTGCTTCAGCAGTAGAGATGATTTGAAACTTACTGAATTAAAACTGTATTTGTCTTCTAGTAAGTTATATTACCTGTCAACTGGCATCGGTGGATGGTATGGTTTGTTGACTTTGGCATAGAGACCCTCTAAGTGGTCTCTCTCTGGAGACAGTGGACGGCCATCCCGTGGGTAACCCAATGGTCCAGCCCGAGGTGGAGATGGTGACCTGTAGACATTTGCTGATGCACATGGTTCCCGGAAGTGGTTCACTCTGGCATAATTGGGGTCCATTTCATCATCGTCCATATCATGCAGTGACCCAATTCCACCAGTAGCATAATCAATAAGACCTCTTGCCTGCTTTTCCCTTAGCTCCTGGTGTTTTGCTCCAATCCTGAAAAAAAAGTAGAACACGTAGTAGAGACATATGTGAATTTCATGTTGTAATATGATAGACTCTCCTGAATTTATGTTGATTCCTCCTAATCAGTCACTTAGCTGCTACTCTCCTGTTAACCCAAATTCACACCATGTAGAAATGCCAACAGAATATCCATGGGGTTAATTTTTTATCTCTGACTTTTATTTGTTGTGGGTCTTCTACAGCAATGCTATAGGTATTTTGACATCTTGCCCACTGATGACTGGGCTGATAGCAGAGTCAGAGGCTGATTTTCATGAAAATTCCCTTCCTACAAATGGGATGTGCCTGGGGGAACAGTACATCTGTGGTGTGATATTATGGAAGTCTTCCTTGGGAGAGGGATGCATGTTAAAGAGCCCATCAGAATCGTATACTTGGGCTGTGATTTCAACATTTGGTACCCTAGAATTCTAGTGTATTCCTTTAAGGAAAAGAGCTTAGCAAAATTGATTTAAATATGAAAAAGAAATACAGAGGCTTTCTGGTCACTAAAAGCAGTGGGATCAGAGGTAATTTATGAGAGATTCTAAGTTTTTTGGTTACACAAATGGGGATCATTGTGCCTCATTATATAGGGGCTAGGGACAGAGTAAAATAGTGAAGAAATTAATAGGCTCCTGACAGAGATGAATTGGCACATATAAGTGAATTAAACATTACTGGCAGAATTCCACAGCGCTCAAGCCTTAAGTGATATTACAAAATGCTACTACTAATCAGTGTGCTGTGTAGACTGCTGGCAGTGGAAGCAAAAAATAAACCTAGGTGGATTCCAAATCCATCTGAATTTAAGAATGTGACATTTAATCTGGAAAGTGTTAGATCAGCTCTCCTGAATTCTCAGTTGCGTGTTAAAACGCAAAGGTCACTGTGGCATCTTATTGGACAATGGTGATCTGATGGTGTCAGGAGGTGTACCGTGCTAACGAGGAACGAACGGAACCTTACATCACTGGGCAAACCCAGTGCACTGCATGCATACAGGACGGGAGAAGCCAGGCGATGCTGGCTCAGGCAGCAAAAGCAAGAACTCAAGAAATGATGGGGACAAGCCTGGGCTCTGAGAATATGAGAGGGCCGTGGGCTAGAAGTGAAAGATCTGTACATGCCTGGGTACATTTATAGAAAGCTTGGATGAATTAAAAACAAAACAAAACTGAACTCTTTCAGTATCTTCTCCTCTTCAAGCAAAAACACCTATGTTTGCACGTGGCAGCTAGCTTTGTTTATTATCTTTATCTTTCAAGGCATTTTCTCTTTTGGCAGAATGGCTTCCCTCCCTCCCCCTATCCAGTGGAGAGAAGGCAAGGAAAAAAAACAACATGAAGAAGAAGAAGGTATAGGACAAAAATCCAGCATCCATCTCAAGCCACAACAGATGAAAATAAATGTCAGGATACATTGCTGCATATCTCTTTTGACTAGGTCAAATCATATGCCCTACACATAAGTAATTAGAAGAATTTATATTTTTGTAAAGAGGAGCTTGAATCTCCAAGGGATTCTGAATGAAGATGAAAGGGAGATTACACGGTAGGGTACCTGTTAAGAAGGTCTGCCGGTCCCCTTTCAATGCAGGTTAGTCCTAGGTTCATGGATGTTTGTTTTGAATAATTTTTTATAAAGAAGATAAGTCGCTCTATTCTGCAACAAAACTGTCCTCTCAGGGACAGTGCAGACGGGATTATCAGAGAACATTCGCTGCACTATGATGATAGGGATGAATTTCCATGGCAAAGAGAGCGCAGGACATCAATAAAGTCAGGGGGTGGGGTTCTGTGTGGTTACCATGCCTCCTAAGTGCGATGCTTTCATGAGATTTCATGAGGAATCATTCAGTAGAAAGATGAACATCTCATGGAGGCTGCATAAAGCTCCACTTGTGCATTAATGAAAGAAGAAAACAGCAAGCGTGATTTTTAAAAGTCACAGAAATAGAACACCGGTATCTGTGCCCCTTATCTCATCGCTTCCCTTTCTTAGAGGTTTTCTCATTAATTAGACTCTGGGTATGGAAAGATTCTCAGATGAAAAGTACTCTGTGTATGCAAAACAGTATTTTATCTTGTATTTTTTCTTTCTAAAACAAAACTAAATTTCTCCTTGATCCTCTCTGCAACACTGTTTCAGTAACTAATTTCATATTAATCACTCAGTAGGTGAAATAGTAATTTCTCTGAACCGTCATTATTATGCCATATGTCAGGGTCTCTCCATGTGGGGGAGGACAAGGCAATCTGAAAAGGGGTGTATGGAGGCAGAAGAGACTCTGTCCAAAGAGAAATGTCAAGGAAATGGATTTTTGTTTTGTTTTGTTTTGTTTTGTTTTGTTTTGTTTGTTTTTGGTAGTTCTGACCTCTCTCTGCCCTAATGCAGTGTGAGAATTCTAATTGTTTATTATCATTTCCACTTAGAGGTCTTCATATCACTGGGACCTCAACCTGTTAAAATATCTATTTTTCAAAATAGCTCTTGATCGTATGTCCTTTTTATTGGATGGTACCATCGGCTTTCCCATTCTCCCCAGCACAGTGCCTTTGAATTACTTAAATTTCTTCTCTCTCTTTCCTTGCAAAAGCATTGTTGTTTCTTGTTTCCATTATAACTCTTGGATACCCTCTTTTGTTTCCATTTCTTTCACCAAACTCTAGTATTCAGGCTTTATATTGCCTACCTGTGTACTGTCCAATATGGTGGCCACTACCACATGATGCTATAAACATTTAAATTAGAATTAACTACAATGAACTGAAATTTAAAATTCACTTTCTCAGTTTCATAAACCACATTCCAAGTGCTCTATAGCCACAAGTGGCTCATGACTACTATACCAGACACTGTAGATAGATATAGACTAATTCCATCATTGCAGAATGTTTTATTGGACTGTGCTAGCCTAGATTATTCTAACATTTTTTTGGTGTGTTATCTTATAATGCTTTAATCTCTGCCTTATAAGACTGTTGGATAAGCTTCCCTAAAGACCATTTACATCATATCTCTGTCAGATCAAGGATTTCTAACAATAGATTACAGTAAATGATGGAGTAAGAGTATGGTTACTTTATTTCCCTCCCTCAAACTCTAAGTGAACAAGCAAATTGAGAAATTGGGAAGGAAATTTCGTCTACAGTAGAATTAGAGAATAACCATAATCTTACACCATGCAGTGAAATTTGGACTCACCCCAAAAGAGGGAGTACATCAAGAGCTGATACATGCCTCTGTCTCTAGCAGGGTACACATTTCACTGAAAGTAAGATCCAGAGTCCAGACGACTACAGACAACAAACTTTCATTCAGAAAAAATATAGTTTGAAGGCCAGTGTAAGATCCTGGAATTGAGGGGTAAATCTTTGTGAGGTGCCGAATTAAGCTTGGAGGAGAGGTGGAGCTAGAAGATTGATATTTCCTCTGGGACATATATTTTGTCCTACACTGAAGAACCTTCATGGAGTAAAAGGAGAGAAGAGAAAAGAAGCTCCAACCTATTTTGTAGCTGAAAGGCAGAATTAGCAGAGCAGAGATAAACAAACACAAACTCATCAAAATAAAACCAATAATCTAAGAGGCTTCACTAAGGAAGCTGATCTCTTTCAAATTGATCTGCTCTCCCAAAATGGAAGACCATGGAAAACAAGCCCCCCGGGCATGCACCCAGCAGATGTGACAAGAAGACATTGTGGAAGAACATATGGAATTGAAGCTACCTGCCAGTGACCTTAGATCTCTATGCCCTCCATGTCCTCTAACACTATATTTAAAAGTATTATTTAAACACTATATAATATGAAATTAATTTAATGGGTCATAACAAGCTTTTGAAAAATTAAATACGATAAAAGAGAAAATATTAGGGGTTATTAATGCATGTAGTATGCATAAGTATTATTTCCAGAAGGAGAAGCATCAAGTCTTCTAAAAATTCAGGCAAACTGAGGCTAGCCTCAAACATAAATAAAGCCCAATGAAAAACATTCTCAAACATTTCAAAACTCAAGGGACTACAGCTTGTTGACCTGTTGTGAAAAACTACTTAACAATTACAATCAGTCAACCAAAAATTGAATCAAAATGAGGAAGTCAACTCGATAAAGCTGTGGAATGACAGGTGTGATGGTGAGCAGGACCTTAACCTCACATTAAGGGTAAACATTTGTAGCAGCATAATTATGGAAAAACACAAATATGATAAACGCTGGCAATATAAACATGATAATCATTAGTGAAAGTCAGAAATCAATAAGGATGTTAGGAGACAGTGTATTCATTCCCTCACTTTTTAGAGTAGGGATCAGTAGTTACTGTTGAAAGTTGATAAATCAGGAAATAGAGGATGTGGTATATACTAAATATTACTACAAGAAAAAGCTACTCAAACAACAAATTATCAGAAGAGGGATGGACAAAACAAAACTCCGACCATATAGAAAACAGGAGAAGCTGTAAAAAAGAGTAATATAAAATCAGATGACTAGATTTATCTTTTATGACAATAAATGAAAATGGAATAAATGTCTTTATTGTAACTAAGGAATCCCAGATATGATAAAAAAGGAAAACATAGTACATGCTCTCAAAATAGTGAAAAATGAAGAGTCGCCTAAATGTGCAGTAACAGGGGACTAGGAAAGACATATGATGCAGCTAAAAAAATATGAGCATACTATTCCCATACTAAAAGGAAATAAGATATACATATGTGCCAAGATAGATATAGATATTTGTATGATATATTACATATTCTTGCATATACATAGAAAATGTCTGGAAGGATAGAAAAGAATTTCCTAACAGTGATTGCTCTGGAAAATGTAATTGGAGGCACACTATCTGAATTTTTATACCATATATTTTTAGGACAATTTAAAATATTTAAAAAATATAAAAAAGTCCCTTACAACTACATACTGACTGTCATAGTGAATCAAAACTTAAAAAAAAAAAAATTTAAACAGGCAACAGCAGGC